CAGTATGGTAATATTGTTGCACACTTACTAACAAAGGTTATTAGAACACCGTGTTCTCCTTTCCCAGCATATGTGCAATACATCACTAGTAATTAGAGCTGAATGTGAGTTCTCTGGCATATAGTCCATAGTGTATGCTACTGGTACAAATAAGATAGAAATGTACTAGTTCCCAATACCAGCTGTTACCTGTTTGTAAGGGAAAGAACACCTGTGTCTTTTATGAGCTACTTGAAAAATATTTTGGTGGCAAACACATGTCAATTTTTTGAGAGTAATTAATGGATGTTTTTTGCCATACTTGCTGTAAACTTATAATAAAACATACACAATATATAGAATACTAATATGAATTAAATGGAGTTCAATTCATGTTTATTGCAGACATAGAGCTTTGAAACTAGCAAAGATTAAATTGATAGGGATATATTATTTTCTGGATGGCCACGTGTAACTCACGTTAGTGTTAATGGTAATGTGGAAATACCCTTATCCTGAAGAGTTTATAATCCAAGGTACTGATCATATTAACATTTATACACATGTCAGTGGGACTACTCATGTTGTGTAAAGTAAAGCAAGAGCATAAGTGTTTGCAGGGTCAGGCCTTAAGAAGACAGGTGAAACGTGAAGGGTGGAGGGAGAGGGATACAATCAAATGTATGTAATTTTCTATTAATGGAGTTACTTGTAAATTCTTGGCAATTACATTCTATATTCAAGGAGCAAGTGCTGTATGTTGCATTTTTCATACTGTTATGAGCTGGGAGAAACCTTATGTGTCAAGCTAAAACCTCATTCAAATTGATGAGTGAACATGCAAAATAAAGCCCAATAGCATCTGACCAGAATCTAGCACCATGTGGGTGGAGGTTTTACTGGGTATTATGACTAGGAGTATGTGGGAGAAAGTAAGGGTGAGAGCGCACAGAAATAGAGAGCAGACAAGAACAGAGAGAAGGAGAGGCAAGAAAGCCAAGCAGGAGCCTGTGACCATGAAAAAAGCTAGAGAGCTTTTGGATTGGTGTTGGCTAAAGAGGTTTGTGGGCTATAAGCTTAGAAACTGCTCCTTTTGTTCTTGGCTCCCTCTGTATTCAGAGGCCCGTCACTTTGTACATTCCTTCCAATAAACAGGACCGCAGCAAATAAAATACCATCAAATTCTGCTTCCAGCTGGAACATCCCCAGGGCCCCAAACTGACTATCCACTCAGGTGGAAAAGAGGCAATAATACATACCAAAGGGTTGAATCCAGGCCTTCAATGCAAAGCTCAACTCAGCCTAACTATTGAACCACAGTTGGTGCCTCCATGATGTGTTTATGTTATTTTTCTTATAAATAAAGCAAGAGTCAACCATCCTCATCTGTCTCTCAACCTAGCCAACACTAACTGGGTATACACAAAAGGATACACACTCACAGTGTTATATGAGAGTGATCATGCTTGCTGGCTTTGAATTTCTTGTCAAAATAGTTATGCTTTTAAAAGTTGGGGTCACTCACGTATTGCACACACACAAAAAAAGCATTGTTGTTGTCCAGAAAGAGAAACTTTGTAGAATCAATAAGTGGTGAAGTTGATCAGTATTGGGGCTTCATAACCAAGACAACATGTTTTGAATTTTAGGGTGTTTTTAATTTTGCCTTTGGACTTTTAATTGGCAGCTTATTTATATTGTAGGTAACTCAGCTAACAGAAAAGCTGAAGAATCAATCGGAAAGCCATAAACAAGCCCAAGAGAATTTGCATGAGCAGGTGCAAGAGCAGAAGGCACATCTGAGAGCTGCTCAAGACCGTGTGCTCTCCCTAGAAACAAGCATTGGTGAACTAAATAGTCAGCTAAATGAAAGCAAAGAGAAAGTATCCCAGCTTGATTTACAGGTAATTTGCCTTTGTACTATATCCTAATGAAAAAAATCCATCTGCACTTCATCATGGAAAAAGGTGGCCTTTGTTGAATATACAAGGCTAGTAGGCTAAGATTCTACTAAAGTTTGCTTGTTTTGTGAGCAACAAATGGCCAAATAAAGTGCAATAAGCAAGATATAATCCAGCAAGACATCAGCGGTTCTAAGATATAAGGATTGCAGCCAAAAAAACAAAAAAACCCCAAAAAACCAACACACACACCAAAAAGAACACAACCACCACCAAGGAATCAACGAAGGAGAAGTTATGTCTCCTTAAAAGACTCAGACTTGCTGTGTGCATTAAGGCTAAGAAGCCTATCTGAAAACTGTTTTAATGGTTCTACAGTCCAAATGCCAGGGTGATTTCCCTTGACTAAAAGGAGAACTGGATTGGACCCCATAACTCAGGGTATATCTACACTTATCGTGGATCGACGCTGCGGCGATCGATCCACCGGGGGTCAATGTAGTGGGTCTAATGAAGACCTGCTAAATCAACCGCAGATTGCTCTCCCATCAACTCCGGTATTCCACCAGAACAAGAAGCATAAGGCAAGTTGACGGGAGAGTTTCTCCCGTCGACCCAGCGCAGTGTAGACAGTGCAATAAGTCAACCGAAGCTACATCGACTCCAGCTATGTTATTCATGTAGCTGGAGTTGCGTAACTTAGGTGGACGTAACCCCGTAGTGTAGACCTGCCTTAAGAGAAGAACAATTATTCGTAACTTTATTTTATTTTGTTCCATTCTGTCTTCAACTGTCTAAACTTTGTTGATAACTTGTGGTTTAGCTATGATTTCTGTGTCCAACATTTCATCATGTCAGAATTACTAATAATTAGCAATAAATAGCTAGTATTAAAGCGCTTGTTAGTAGGAAGAAAATTTGAGTTAAAAGCAACTGCAATCAAGAATTCTTTATGATCTTCATATTACAAACATTGTAACACTCTTCTTTTCAGATAAAAGCAAAGACCGAATTACTGCTTTCAGCAGAAGCATCAAAAGCCGCTCAAAGAGCAGATCTTCAGAATCATTTGGACACAGCCCAGAATGCACTGCAAGATAAACAACAAGTAGGAGAAATTAATGCTACTAGATCATCTAAGATAACCTTCATACAAATCCAAAAAGGACAATTTGGTTTGGGAAAAAAAAATCAAAGTCCTTGTGGATATGCATTTGCGTTGGAGACATTATTCAGAATTTGAATATGTGATATATTTTGTCCTGTTTGCTATACGCAGGGCCCTGTATATTGTAATGTATGGAAGTGACTGAAATCCACCCCTGCTGCAGAAATGTACTCTAGAATCTAAGCTTCCATGTTATAATAGAATAGTTTCTAACCTGTGTGATTATGAAGAGAGACTTTACAAAGTATACTGAGTGTAAAACAAAGCAATGTTGTTTTTCTGGAGTCTGCAGATTCAAGATAAAAAAACAGACTTCAGCTAAATGAAGAAACATACTTTTTTATTCCAAAATCAGTGTGTACACACACACACTTGCATTAAAATAAAAAAGGGATGAATTAAAACCAATTTAGTTACTTTGGTGAAAGTCTGTGTGCACTCCATCCCTAAATCAGCACATCTCATTGGGGTGCTAATATTGAAAACGAATGATAAATTAACTGTCAACATGGTTAATTATTTTGCTGCTGATTATTTCAGTAAAAACATTCACAATTTCAAACCACTTCCAAAAGTAACACCAGCTCCCGTGCCTTCTCGGGTGGGGAATTGAATATTAACATAAATAGCACAAGTCCTTCTGTAGTGATTTTCATTTTCATATTTAATTAATTAAAAATCTCCCAGATTTTATTTTAAATGAAGCTGCTGATGAATTTGTCAGTCTCTTGTATCAGTGTGTTGCATAAGTTAGGTCCAGCTCACCATAAAACTTGTGGTCTTTTGACTATCAGCAGTATGTGTTCCGTTTCTGGTAGAAAATAATATTGTTCCATGTTGAACCAATAGTTTTCAAACTATGATCCGTAAGCCATTCGTGTCTGTGGAGAGTTGACTGGTCACATGGTATTGGATGTCCTTGTTCCTGCTAAATTTAATCTACTGCTACAAATAGGTTAATATTATGTTCCCGTGCACAAAATAGCAAAAAATTGAAAAATTTTTTGCTCATGAAAAAGTTCTGCCTTAAAAGCAATTTGAAAAGAATAAGCTATTAAATATGCTGTTTTTCTCCAGTATAACATGTGCATTTTTAAAAATTTCATATGAACATTTTAGACAAGTAAATATTTATGCATGTGTTTAGAGAACTCTTTAATAATTTAAAAAATACTCATCCTTTAAAAAAAGTAACCATTTTCAATTATATTTTACTTCATAGGAGTTAAATAAGGTCAACACTCAGTTAGATCAGGTTACAGCTACGCTGCACGACAAGCAAGAATATTGTACACAGCTGGAAGCCAATCTTAAAGAGTATAAAGAGAAACGTCTTTATTTAGAACAGAAAACGGAGGAGCTAGAGGGACAGCTTAAGGTTTGTATTCAGAAATGAAGAACCTGAGTTTATAAAACTAGTTTTCACCATGTAAAGCAACAAAATTGTTTCATAATGTATGTGACAGCAGTGCGGAAATTGCAGGAGGAGGATGGCCAGCCACCTAAAAAGTAGTGTAGATAGTATTCTCTTTTCCCAGTGTTTCCTTATTCAGCTGATGAATGAGAAAGTGGAGTTATGCCATAACTGCCTCCGCTGCCCCAGTCTTCTTCCCCTCCAATGGGTACCCTGAATATAATTCATGGAGAATATTAAGAGATGAGACATAAACCACTTCCTAATTTCAGAGCTCTCATATTTGTGGTTATATAAACTTCAAGTAACTTTATTCAAGTGCATAAGTGTTTGCAGGATCAGACCCTAATGTACGCACATCTTCAGTGTATTACATTTGAGGCAGGAGGCAAAAAGCTAGAATACAGTAACATGAGAAGTGTATACAATTGCACAGAGCTGGAGTATGTTCCATTTATAAATTATTGGGTTATTTTTAGATTACAGTATTTTAAGCGTCTTACAGATATTTGACCACATTCAAATATAGAAGTATGTTTAATTTTAAATGTATGTGAAGACTAGGGGTGAGATCCTTACCCCTGCTGTAGCCCCTTTATACCTGGAGGTTGGAGGTATTTATGAACAATTGAGTGAATTTTCACTCTGGTGGTTGTGTAATGATAACTGTAGCTTTTTCTTTTCTTTTACAGAAACTTGAAGCTGACATTCTTGAGGTTAAAGCAAGCAAAGAACAAGCTCTTCAGGAGCTACAACAGCAACGGCAGCAGTGTACAGAACTAGGCCTCAGAACAACAGAACTGACTAAACAGCTTGAAGCAGAAAGAGAAGTGTATGCTAACAGTGTTTAATGCATTACTTTTCAGACCTAGAGACCTAGATTCAAATTTGAATTGTTCTAGAAGAACAAACAAATACATGTTTATACTCTTAGACTAGAATTGAAATTATTATTCACCTTCATGATCACCAGACCTCACCTAAAACCCTACATCTCAGTGGGGGCTTCTGCATCTTTTCCTCCACAGGGGAGAGAAGCATTGCCTTGTTTGACTTGCACTTCAGCCATCAGCCTTCACCCCATAGATGAGTCACCAAGTACTGTGACTTAACCTGTGTGGGTGGAGATGCCCCCAGTGTACTTCCTCCATCTCTTCTGTACACTCTGTCTAGATCCCACTTATTGTATCAGCAGCAGAAAGCTGGTCATCAGCAAACAACCTTTTACTGTTATACCACCCTCTGAAAAATTAAGGGGTCCTTCCCAGCATGGGGCTCAGATCTCTAATATGTATATAAATGAGATATTCATCATCACCACCTATATCTGATATATGGGTAAGAGGAGGTTATATTGTCATAGAACAAATGAGAATATTGGAATTCATATGCTTGACTAAGCGGATTTAAGTTTTGTGTGATAAATGGGTAAGGGAGATTCAACCCATAGGTGGAAAGTTAGTGGGGATACAGGCTAGCATTAAAGCTGGTGTGGGAATCTTATTGCAAATGCAATTTCTCCAGCACTTAGCACAAACAAAAACTACTACAAAATATATTTGGTAATGTTGTTGTGTTGAAGGTCAGTCTCTCAACTTTTAACTTTGTCTGGGAATAATGTGTGTGAGACTCTTTCATGAACCAAAGGGTATGTTGCCAGTTGATGGATCTGAATATATTAACCTGTTCAGAAATCTGCTGAGTAAAAAACCTTAATTTGGGGTTTTATACATCTTGATTTACAATTTGCATGTTAGCTCTCCAGGGGTAGTTCATAGGTGTAATGTTTAAAGAAGAACCACCATCCTGAAAATGGGACTTCAGAGTATGTCATTCATTTAAGCGTAGAAACGAAACATCAATATATCATCTGAAAAAACATGTTTTAAATTAGTAGAACAATTAACGTATTTGATTATAGAGAGTAGATTTAATTACACAAAACAACTTATCAATAATTTTTTTAAGTTTTGTATTTCACTGTTCTCCTTTGTATTTGCACAGTGTATCTAGTACTAAATTGGATTTGGAGAAGAAATCTGATGCCCTGGAACAAGCAAAACAGCAAATATCAAAGCAAGGGGAAGAAAAAGCAAGCCTTAAACGGGACCTTGAGAAATTAAATCAAGAGACAAATAAACAACGTAAGGAACTAGATGGCAAGATTCAAGCAGCAACATCAGAGCTGCAGAAAATGAAGTTGGAGAAAGAAACTTTATTGAAAGACCTTACAGTTACGAAAGACAAATTATCAAAAACCATTGAATCCTTGAAGGATATAAAGGATGAATTGGAAAAGGAGAAACAGAAAGGAAAAGCCGCTGTAGCAGAAATGGTTAGTTGTGGATTTAATCAGGCATCAAGTATTGGGTATTTTTCAGTTTGCTCATTCATGTTTGTCAGTTCTGCTTTGCATTGTAGTATGAAAACTGCTCATATTTATTGCAAAGATGATGGCACCAACTGTGGAAATTATGATTGCCTTAAGAAAAACAAAACTGAGATATAATTGTAAGTCCTGAATTAAGTTGTGGCTGGATGTTTTTACTGGTAAACATTGGTTCATACCAGAAACCAGACCCTTTTAGTTGCTTATTAATAGAAAGAAACCCACAGACAGTGATGAGCATTGAAGCAATTATATGTGAAATGTGGAAAACACTGGACAGCCCTATAAAAACATAGGTTGTGAAACTTTGCCAAAATGCAACCCACATTTGAGAACAATGAAGTCAGTTTTTCTTAACCTATTATAGTTTTGGTTTTCTAATCTGTTTCATGCAGAACACATTGGTGCACTTGTTATGGGGGTGATGGAAGATTGCTGGTTCTGGTAAGCATAATGGTGTCTGGAGAGACAATTATTCTATGCAATGTTGTAGCCATGTTGTTCCCAAGATATTAGAGAGACAAAGTGGGTGAGGTCGTATCTTTTATTGACCAATTTCTGTTGGTGAGAGAGATAAGCTTTTGAGCTTACATAAGTTTACAGAGCTGAAGAAGAGTTCTGTAAGCTCTCACCAACAGAAGTTGGACCAATAAAAGATATTACCTCACCCACTTTGTCTCTAATATCTTGGGAACAGCATGGCTACAACATTGCATAGAATAATTGTGTCTGTCATTTTGGGAAATATCACACGCTTGCAAGACCTGTCTGAAAGCCAAGTGATTCCAGTGACCTAAGAAGCGGCAGTATGGCAGCAAAATGCTTGGCCAGGAGTCCATTATTGTAATAAAAGTGACCCTTACTATTACTGTGTTTAAAACGATAATCCCCATTTTTTTTGTTTTTAAACTTTGGCTGCTTATACCAGCATCAGCTAGTACAGTAGCAATACATATTTTGTGAATTTTCTATGTTTAAAATTTATTGTACGGGTATTTTTCCCAATTTCTTTTTCTGTTTTGCGTCAGACCATCTCTCAGCTCCCATGTGTGATTGTTATTTTTATTTCCACTCAAAAGTAATCTGTATTTACAATTACAAATACCATTTCTCCCCACCTTCTATCCCTTTTATAAAAAGCCCTTTTGTTTCTTCTTTAACAAATGCCGATGATTGCAATGTTTTACAAAGGCAGGTCTACACTTAAAACGCTTGCAGCGGCGCCACTGTAGTGCTTCATTGAAGATGCTAGTATGCTGACAGGAGAGCTTCTCCCATCAACGTAGTTAACCCACCTCTGTGAGAAACGGCCGCTGTGTCAAGGGGAGAAGCCTTCCTGTCGACGTAACGCTGTCTAAACTGGGGGTTAGGTCAGTATAACTGAGTCGCTCAGGGATGTGGATTTTTCACACCCCTGAGCGATACAGTTATCCTGAGGTAAGTTTATAGTGTAGACCTGGCCTTAACTACTTCTGCTTAATTATTTACATTTACTCTAATAACTGGAAGGTTTTACTCTTCAGTTTATACTATTAAAAATAAGGTCCATATCCTACTTCCAGGGAAGTCCATGGGAGTTTTGCCATTGATTTCAGGGAGTAGGATTTGGACCTAAAGAAAAGAAGAGAGAGAGAGAGTGTGTGTGTCAGAGAGAGAGAGAGTGTGTGTGTGTGTGTGAGAAAGAGATACATTAAGAGATTTTTAGATCATATTACTACAAAGGTTCCAATTCTGCCATCTTTACTTACTCTGTGTAATACCTTACTCCAGAATTAATAAAGATGGTGTTTTGAGCCTATACTGTTCCCTGACAAGGGGAAGAATCTCAGTATTTATTGGTACCCTCAGGGGAATCACCCTTCCCTGCCTTAAAACAGCTATCCTTGTGGTTCCATTTCTGAGCTGCCAATCTAGGCCTCAATTGAGAAAAGCATCCCTATTCAGGAAAGCTCTTCAGCACATTCGTAAGACCCAGGGACTTAAATGCTACTTAAGCACATGCTTAACTTTAAGAGTAAATAGCATTTAAGTCCATGGGTCTTAGGAATGTGCTGAAGTGCTTTCCTGAATGTGGGCCTTGGTGACCTGGGAAGAATGACTAGGACTGGGTTCTAAACAGTTATAGTTTATAGCACATTGCGAGGATATTTCTGTGCCGAATACAGATTCTGATTTAAGAGAATGCAAGTGTTCTTTCTTGGTAGTTTGTAGTTTTTGTAATAATAGCTGAAATGCATTCGGTAAAGTTGACAAAAAATGCTCACTAGGTAATCTGTTTTTTAGGAAAAATCTTGCCAAGAAACTAAACACCAGCTTCAAGTACAGACAGAGTCTGTAGCTAAAGAACGGAATGAGTTGAAAAACTCACTGGAAAAACAGGAAGGGGTAAGATTACTAATTCCCAATTACAAAAAATAAAAATATGTCAATGACAGCTTTTCCAATCACATATGCAGAGATCAGATTGGAGGGGGGAAAAAGTAGTGGTATTCTTCCAAGCCCTATGCAGTTGACACCAAAACCAGATGACAGTCACAGAAGATTGTGTGTATTCTAATATGATCATCCCTGGTTTTGGTGCGCTCTTCGTACAATACATACAGTGACAACAGATGATCATTGTCCCTCTGCTTTCTTACATTTTTTGAAATAGTTAACTATGTTAACATGTAACTTGTCATTAGTTTTCTGAGTTAACATCTCTCTTAAATGAATAGTGACAGTTCACACCTCTCAGATCTGTTGTTTCAAGCTTAGTTAGACATCTCCATACCATTGTATGTATTGTTTTATCAGTACGCTGTTTGGGAGAAAATTTTCAGAAACTCTTGAGAGATTTAGTTGTTTTTGAAAATCTCCCCGTAGGAGGTTATCTTTGTAACTATAGGGACTAGTCTTACCTTTTAAAAAATGAAAACGTACATTCTAGAGCACAGGATAGCCACGTCAACGATAAAGGATCTGCTGCCAAGCGACTGTGGAGTGGCCCGGTTTAGCCCTTCCATGAAAAAAAGTGATGTACAATTAGATGTTAGCTGTAAATAATGTATTTGATGTACTGCAACACAAACTAATAATGATTAAGGTAAAGATAATATGCAGTTTTTTTATATTTTTAAATATAGATTTCTAAGCAGCTGACAATTGAGCTTGATTCGGCACGAGGACAAATACTGGAGATTCAGGGTGTCCTAAAAGAGCAGGAAAAGAATGAGCAGCATCTCCAAGGAAAGCTGAAAGAACTGAAGGAATCGTTTGATCAGAAGAAAAGGCAAACTGAAACACAGCAAGCTGAATTAAAAGGTGCCCTTTTAGAAAAGGTAGTTCTGGCTTCTCTTCATTCCTCTTACTTACAAAGGAAATTAGTATTAACTCTGATGCAGGCTCCTGTTTTATGTCATTATGTGGGTGATAAAATAGCTATTTACTGTAGCTGAAATGTGTTACTGGGAATGGTAAGGTCAGGATGCAGAACTGAGCCCATCAAATATTGTTCAAGGTCAAAACTATAAAAATGTTGAGTAGAAGGCCCAAATAGTGAATTATGGATTATGCAAGTAGTACACCTGTCATCAAATTGATAAAAATAGCTAGACCTGCTGTGTTCATTCTACTGCATCTGTATGCAATGTGGCAAGAGTTGCCATCTTGTCGCATAGCAGCATGCAGTTTCGTGAGAATAATTTAGACAAGAGTCCTCAGCATTTTGGAGCATCAGTGGTGGTTTTAAACAACTCATTTTGTATTGTAAGAAGAGAATAGAGAGTCTTAATGACCATATGAAATGTGAACTATGATGAAAAAGTTCAAACTCCATATAGCTTTAGGGATTTTAGTGTCATGTGCTGTACTATTAAATGATGTCTGCACTCAGTCTTTCATTTATCATATAAAGTATTGCAGTGGCTTTCTGTTGTTCTGCCCATGGAAACTGCAGGGTTTGGAAATACTGTTTAGATGTTTGAAAACTGGCCTTCCCGTGTTTAATTATTCTCTTGTTGTTAGTCATTTACTTTTTTATTATATAGCAAGTAAATCACAGTATATTAATGTAAGAAATAATATGATTTAGTAATGTGACCTTGTTCAAATTTTGTAGCTGGGATAAATCATAGCTATAAGTATTGCAGAGTAAATCAAGAGAAAAGATTTATTGAAATAATTATGCTTATTTAATTAACATTTCTTAAAAATTAGTTTAACAAATTGAGATAGCAAATAATCCATATTTTACATTTTATCTTACATGCCTGCTTTGTACTGTAAAATATAAATCCAGGATTCGTATGTGTGTTTCAGGCAGAACTAGAGAATAAATTACAGCAGCAGGTAACATTATCCGCACAGGAGCTTAAATCAGAGAAAGGAAAACTAGCAGAGCTACAGAAGATCCATGAAAAAGATCAGGAAAATATGAAAGAACTTCAGCTGGATCTTTATGGTAAAGAATCTGAGCTGTTGGCAACAAGGCAAGATCTTAAGGTACAGTGTCTTTTTAAAGTCATAAGTGACTTAATAATGTTTGTCTTCAGGATGAATAGAAAGAAGCAAAGTGAGAGCAATGTGAAGAAAAAACTCTCTTGCTATATATAGAATTGTATTGTGTTCTTTCCCTCAGGACACAGTACATGTTGGAATTAATTTAAATGCCAAGTATTTTTGCCTGATGTACCTAGAATGCCCTTCTAGTTCACAAGTGTTTTGTAGCAGTGCTGTTGTCTGAGCTCTGGGAACAAGGTGAAGGATTTAGGAGTACTGAGTTCTTTCTTTACACATTCCACTCTGTGTAAAGCTTGTCCCCAGTCTTACCCCTGCATAGTTCCCAATCTGTGGAAACAGAAATACAACTAATGGTATCCATTTCTGCCAGCATGCAAGGGACCAACCCCAAGAGTATTTCCCTCCCCCACAATTTAGTGCCCTTTTGACTCCTTTGTATGGACGTAACAGGCTTTGACAGTGCTCCTCAGCTTGCATTCCTGCAACAAACCCGTTTAGTCTGTGTTGTTCTACAGGTGACCCAGTTGTTTTGGCAAATTTACATACTATTTTCATTCAAGATACATTTTTAAAGGGATTTCTCTTTAGTGAGACCTATTTTACATATAAAATGATGCAGCCATACCATCTTGATTCAGATGCCAAATCTAAGTAGACCCTGACATTGTCAGTGCTTGGATTGGAGACCTCCAAGAAAGCCCAAGTACTGCTGGAACTGGTGTTGGAGAGTTAGTAGATAGTACTTTTTCCTCTCAGTCAGTACTCGTAGTCGAGGAGTCATAGAATTAAAACCGGAAGTGACCACTAGTTCATCTCTTGTGACAGCCTGTATATCACAGGCCACCAACACCGTCTAGCACCCACACACTAAACCAAACACCCAAAATTAGACTTACGTATTACAGCCCACAGGAGATTAGACCATTATGTGCCACAGGCAGAAAATAGGGGTGACTGACTGAAGCAGTGCCCCAGCAAGTGTTAGGAAATATGGTGCTAGAGGAGTTATCTTTAGGGTGAGTTGCAAAACAATTGGCCCTGATCATGTGTAGTCATTAAAGGTTCTATGGCCCTTTCTGGAAAGAAAGGTCTATTAGCCTTGTGTCTTGGCCAAACTGCAGTGCTCATAGACTCTAAGATCAGGAGGGACCATCATGATCGTCTAGTTTGACCTCCTGCACATTGCAGGCCACAGAACCTCACCCATCCACTCCTTTAATAAACCTATAACCTCTGGCTGAGTTAGTGAAGTACTCAAACCATGATTAAAAGACTAAAAGTTACAAAGAATCCGCCATTTACCATAGTTTAAACCTACAAGAGAACCATGCCCCATGATGCAATGGAAGGCGAATTCTCCCCCTCGCCCCCCAGGTTTTCTGCCAACCTGACTTGGGGGAAAATTCCTTCCCGATTCCAAATATGGCAATGAGTTAGACCCTGATCATGTGGTCAAGACTCACCAGCCAGACACCTGGGCAAGAATTCTCTGTGGTAACTCAGAGCCCTCCCATTCTAGTGTCCCATCACCAGCCATTGGAGATATATGCTGCTAGCAGTTGCAGATACCATCCCCTCCATAAACTTATCAAGCTCTGTCTGGAAGCCAGTTAGGTTTTTGCCCCCACTGCTCCCCTTGGAAGGCCGCTCCAGAACTTCTTTCCTCTGGTGGTTAGAAACCTTTGTCTAATTTCAAGCCTAACTTGTCGATAACCAGTTTATATCCATTTGTTTTTGTGTCCACATTGGCTCTTAACTTAAATAACTCCTTTCCCTTCTTCATATTTATCCCTCTAATGTATTTATAGAGAGCAATCATATCTCCCCTCTTTTTGGTTAGGCTAAACAAGCGAAGCTCTTTGAGTCTCCTCTGATCATCCTAGTAGCCCTTCTCTGCATCTGTTCTAGTTTGAATTCATCTTTCTTAAACATGGGAGACCAGAACTGCATACAGTATTCCAGATGAAGTCTCACCAGTGCCTTGTACAATGGTACTAACACTTCCTTGTCTGTATTGGAAATACCTTGCCTGATGCATCCTAGGACTGCATTAACCTTTTTCTTGGCCGCATCACATTGGTGGCTCATAATCATCCTGTGATCAACCAGTACACCAGGTCTTTCTCCTCCTCTGTCACCTCTAAATGATAAGTCCCCAACTTATAGCAAAAATTCTTGTTGTTAGTCCCTAAGTGCATGACTTTGCACTATTAAATTCCATCCCATGTCTCTTATTCCAGTTTTTAAAGTCCTCCAGATCTTCTTGTATGATATTTCGGTCACTGTCTGTATTGGCAACTTCTTTGAGTAGTGTCCCTATGGGTGCTCCACTGTAAGTGTTCCTATGAATGCTCACAGTTGGGAATTCAAGGACACAACCTGGGAGTCAGAGGAGATTGGCAATAACAAGAAAACAAGGTTACCAGTCTTAGCAAATGTATAATTTTATAAATTTTAAGATTGTGGTTCTATTGTGCTAAAATGCCGTACAAACATGCAGGCAGTGTATGGGTTTTTGTTTTATAATAATATCATCACTGAACAAAACAGTTTAATAAAATGCTAAAAGACCACTGTAAAATATAGCTAAATTAAAAAGATGTAAAAAACAAAACAACAAAAATCCTATTGAGAAAATTCCAAATAATGATCAAAAGATCAATTTATTTTTAGACCACACAAAGAATACAATTGACTATGAACACATCCTTCTAAACTGTTTTCACCTTGGTACTTATGTGCTAAATATACAAAACCAGTAGAGCAAAGATTTGGAGAGTCTTTATTTTTCCTTTTCCTCTCAGAGGATATTTTGTCATGTCATGGTGACACATCCCATGTTATATTATAAGTAAAGTCCTCCTAGTTTCCTCAGATACTGTTTCCTTTAATTGGAATTCTGGAGCCTTGCTGCAATTGATGTCACGGCCACCATAAATATTTAGAAATACATGACAGAGAGTGCAACTTAATGGAAAAGTAGGCCAAAAAATGTATTGCAAGTGGAAGTAGATTGATAAATATTTAGGGTTGCAAATTATATTTGCTAAAGAAGGTGGAATTTTCTTTTTAAAGAAAAACTAAGGATGCTTTATAAACTAACTAAACTTTTTGATGGCTGCAGAATATAATGGGCTTGGCCCACAGTTACGGAAATGCAATGCAGTTCAGTCTTTTGTGACTTGTAGTAAACAAGTGTGTCCCTATTTAGTGTTTTTAATCTACTATGCAAAATAGATAGGCTCCAAAGATGATATAAGCAAAATATTTGGGGGGTAGTTCCTGAGATTCCTATATGTTCTCTGAAGCTGAAGGCTAAGAATGATGTGCACAACTAATGGGACTGTTTTTACCTAAGGACACGTAAAGAAAAACAAAAACATTATTGCTCCAAGAGCCCATCAGTATTTTATTTTTTAACATCTTGACCTCTTCCCCACCCCCTGCCCAACTTCATCTGCTGGGAGAAGGCTCCAGTCTTTTGTGCGGTGGGCTGGCTCTGAGGGAGTTACTCCTCACTGAGGCACTAATAGGTGATGATCCTCATTCTAAGATCAAGTGCTAATGATTGGGTATCTGTGTAGAACATTTCAGTTCAGTTCTTTTGTGACTGTGATTAGCAAAGCAGGTCCCCATCAGAATTGTGAGTGTGACTTGCCAGTTCTCTGCTGTTCCTGTGGACGTTGGCTTCAGTTTGGGCAGTGTTTCTGTTTCCTTTTGTTCATTTGCCATTTTCCCCTTTCAGCCTTTGTGATTTCTCTTGAAATTGCAAACTCCTGGTGTATAGAAAAGCTATCACAGATCAATTTTGGAGGTTTAAAATTTCTGATTTTTCTGTCATTCTAAGGACTGCACATGGCAATCAGTGCACCTTTCCATGCAAAGGGATGTGAAAAAATGTCACACAAAATTTAAAATGTTTAAAAATTATTAAGAAACTGTTCCATAAATGTATATTTGAAAATACATGAAGGAGTGTGAGTTGATGGTAGAGAGATTTTGCTATTCCTAATCCAGCCATTCCAAACTCATATCAAGAAGGCATACAACCCTATGCCGTCATCCATATATTATGAATGGCAGTGGCCGCAATTGGTTGTCCAGGAAACCTAGGCCTTTCTCACTGTTGCAGTGCCTGTGAAGAGTGATGGTCAGTTTGGTTTCCAGGTACATTTTTGGTTTTTTGTTTGTTTCTGTAAAGGGAATCATCCTGAGACAGCACTTAAGAGAGAAATTTAGAACTCAGGATACATTTAAAATATGTTGAATTTCAGAGGTGAAATTCTGTCTCTGTGGAAGGTGATGGGAGTTTTGCCATTGACTACAATGAGACCAGGGATTTACAGTTTGACCTTTCATATGTGGAAAACCAAAACAATCAGTTTTGTTACTGGAAAAGGTTTTCTTCCACCTGTTCCAATTCTTCCTTCTCTGCTTTCATTTCCATAGTCAACCTGTGGAACTCTTTGCCAGAGGATGTTGTGAAGGCCAAGACTATAACAGGATTCAAAAAAGAACTAGATAAATTCATGGAAGATGAATTTCTATCCATGGCTATTAGCCAGGATGGGCAGGGATCGTGTCCTTAGCCTCTATATGCCAGAAGCTGGGAATGTGCGATAGGTGATTGATCGCTTGATGATTACCTGTTCTGTTCATTCCCTCTGAAGAACCTGGCATTGGCCACTGTTGGAAGACAGGCACTGGGCTAGATGGACCTTTTGGTCTGACCCAATATGACAGTTCTTATGTACCGGGTCTAATAGTTACAGCTGCTGGGGTTTCCTAGAGCAGTGGAGGCTCTGGGGTGGTTTCAGTTGGGTCCTGCCTGGCACTCACCCCAAAGTAGCGGCTCTTGCAGCTCCTATGCTGTGGGGCTGTCTGGGCTTGGCTGTCTGCTCCAGGTGTTGCAACCTCCAGGGTTGCAGCACCGCTCTGATTCGACCCTGCCCCCTGCTTGGACCTGGCTCATGGGATTGCAG